GTGGGATAAAGGCTTGATGATGTTGTTGTTGTTGTTGTATGGTGAAAGTGAGCAAGCTTTAAATGATATTTTTGATTCAGCAAGGAGAGCTTATATGGTTGTGGTCTTTATTGATGGGCTTGATTCCATTGTTCCATCACGGATGGATGGAGGCGAAGAGTTGTCTCTTAAAATGGTCATAACTTTGCTAAAACTGATGAATGATATTAAAAGATATGATGGAATTCTTGTAATTGATGTTACAAATCAACCTAAGAGTACTGACAGATTTTGAAACATATGAATTTGTTGGTGCTAATTTACCGACAGTTTACTCGCCGCTTTTAACTGGCGGTCAGACCGCCAGTTTTCGGCGATGATTCGACTGCCGGATAAAGCGCCAGTATTCAGTGAATTTTCTGTAGTGTCTATGCAATGAAGCTATAATGATTGTCCTTCATCGCATAGTTGAAATATTGGGAACATATACTCATCTCAATAAGCTTGTGGGCATGTATCAAAGAGGCAAAATCTTCGACCCATGTCTTATGATTTCTACACCTACCTCTTTTTCGATGATGCGCCTCAACGGAGTGAGCTCTTCTGACTCAAGGGTAGTATGATGTAGGAACATCCTAGTTATAGCATACCTTAGGAATAGCTTATCAATTTATTACATGCTTTCTAGATGTTTCTATAGCTAACTTATATATATTACTATTGTAGTAGGATGAGGCATTAATGAATATTATGCTATTTTGGAGCTTGTGAGCTTGTATTGGTTCTTAGTTTTGTAATCCTTCTATCATATTCATTTCTTCTGCCGATTCACTACGTTAAAGGATTTAGCATGACTCGCATCCCCTGCTCTCCCCTCGTCACTATTGGTGAACGCCTTATTAAAACCACCATCTTCAACAAATATTATTGCTTTCTGCACTGGATAATCCATTGCCATGCCTGGAGAGTCTGCTTGGCTTTTCCGATCAATGGAGATCCTTATTCAATTAAAAAAAAAAAAATCACATAAGGTTTGATACAAAGTATATGTTTTGTCCTCCATCAAACATGAGGCAGAATTTGAGGCAATACCACGATTTACAAGGTGGCATGTTATATAATGTTGACCCTATGCTGTGGGACAAAAGCTTGTTGTTGTATGCAAGGCCAATTCTTTTTAAAATATTTTTGGAGGAATTATTTCCTTTAAGTTGAGATCAGACAATGCATCATATTTATCTCAAACAAAAATTCCCATATCAATTTTCTCCATCAGAAATTTAATCAATTTTGAATTAATTACAGTGCTTTATTTTGCTTTTTGCAGGGAGGGTTTGGGCGGGTCACAACATCTTGAAGTTTGACTGCCCTCGGATCAGGGAAGCCTTTGCAGAGATAGGTAGGCCTCCCCCAGAGCCCATTGGAACCATCGATACCTTGCCATTGCTTACCCAAAGGTTTGGAAGGAGGGCTGGAGACATGAAGGTGATACCATTGGCATTAATTTTCTCTCCTTTCACTCTTCATTGCTTAATAATTTCCCTTTGCTTACTGTTTTTCATTATTTTTTTTTGAACTCCACATGCACACGTTTTCTGTTTTACTTTTATGCATTAAACGTGTCGTTGACAAAATTTTTGGTTAATGAAAATTATCTCATCTTCCTTTTCAGATGGCTACATTGGCTAATTATTTTTGTCTTGGACCACAGAAGCACAGGTGATTCCTTCCTCTCTCTTTGCAACTCATGCAAGTATAACTTCCTCTGATTCTCAGCTACACAGCGTGGTCAACATGACAAAGCACATTTGGGAATAATGTGGTGCAACTTTTGTTGCAAACCCATTTTGTTCCAGTAGAATAGAGGTCTTGGAAGACTACATTCTTATTACACACTTCATAATACCACGACTAGATTATATTATGCAGCTACAAATTCTTTTAATGTGGCTATCATTTATTAGGTTAAAAAATGAAAGGTAAACAAACTTGTGAGTGAAACCTAATTTGTAGTTATAAAATTCAAGAGGGATTATTTAATTTTCTTAGATTTATTAGATTTTTAAATTTCTACCGAACAGGCCATATTTATTTATTCTATTATTGTGATGTTTAAAATGCATGTGTAAGGCAATTCAACAACGCCCAGCAAGGATTATCAGTTTCAAGTAATCCCTCATGGTAATACCAGGTTGGCTTTTCACTGGATCACATAATTGGTCCAGACTCCAGTAGTTTGGATTCAAGTAAAACGTTCTTTGTTGATCACTAGAGGTTAACCTTATCTAGTTCTGAATAACAGCACTTTAAATAAAAGGATGCAAGGAAAGGTGTCTCAGTTTGAAGTGACTAATTACTACGTTTGATAAATTTGACTGCTAGAAGGATATAAAAAACTGATGCCAAATTATTTTATCTGTCGGAATGTCCAGTCAAGTTATCATCCCGAAGCATGCAAACAATTGGAATAAATACGATGACTCTAATGATGGAGAATGTTGTTACTGTTATAGTGAGCCTCATTTGTTTCCCAATAAGTTTGGCTTTGCAAAATGAATCCATAATGTTGTCGATCCTGAGCATTAATTGATGTTAAACATGGATATCATAGATGTCTAGGGACATGCAATGTTGATTATCTCCATGTTATGGTCTCACCTCTATCCAGCACATCGCATATATAGGGCCTGAATCGGCCATCAACCACCGCAATCCCTGTGGTTGAAGGTCCTCTTGCAGAAGGAAGTGGCTATGGCTGCTATATATGCGTGCATGCCACTCTTATTCTAGTATTACAAGTTCAAATGCACCGTAACTATTTTTTCATTAGTGGTTGCACCATTGGAGAACGGAAGGAAGCCAACTTTCTTCAGAATCATTATCATCGTGTTCATCATTAGCCTTATCCAACTGTTTGGGCATTAATATTTTTTTTTTCAATTCATTCCTATCGGGTGATGTTTGAGATAATAGATCTTACTCCTTCATGGTCAACTGACTTTAATTTTATCTGCTTGTCTAACAAGTATATTTTTTTATCATTTAGTGTGTCAGTTTAAATCATCTAAGCCTATTTTCAATTATCTTCAATAGATGCTACTTCAAATATTTATATAAATATAATCATTTCTTAAAATTTTAACCTTCTTATTTCTGTCACATTTAACTTAGATGATAATGACTTCTTTCCTATCCAAGTTTCAAATCCATATAACGTCATTGACCTAATTGCAGTTTTATAAAATTTATCTTTAGGGGCTATTTGGCATTTGGATTTATGCAGGATTTGAGCAACTGGTAAATCTCATGGCGGAATAAATCCTCCAGTTCTCTTTTTGTTGTAAATCCGGATTTACTAAATCATGGAGTTTGCTGGATTTATAGGATTTGGCCGAAAAAGTGTGCGAAAGGGAGAAAGAAGATTACCTTCACAACAAGCAAGCTCGCGTCGTTACTTACGATCCAACTAGAAGAATGTCGTCGAAATGTCTTGACTTCCGATCTGACAAGGAGGGAACATCGTCGAAAGAGTCAAATAAGTGACTCATTGGATCAAAGTCGAACAACAACGAAGAAAGGAGCCAAAGAAGTGACTTGTGCAAAACTCTACCTCACGTGAAAGCAATGAAGGCGAACACCAAAGACGAAATATAGAAGAGGAAAGAGCAAACCCTATATGCCTCCTAAGATTGGGAAGAAATTAAATTAATTCTTAAATGATAAGAGCTAAGTATTATAAAAAAAATAAAAAAAGAAGAAAAAAATTAAATTAATTTTTTAATTAGAAATTAATCTATTTAATATATTTAATATAATTTGAAATATAAATAA